ATAAAAAAACAATCGCAATTGGCTCTAGGATGGACAGCCTCTAATACAATCTACACAGGGATGTATACATGTACTAGTTGTACATTATGAGATTTGATGTCTGAAGCAGATCATTTTACCTTGAGCTGTTGGATCTCCATAATTTTAGTTGCTATTTCTGCCATGCACTTCTCCTCATTCTGGCGTCCTTCTATTTCCAGATCTTTCTCTCTTTTCTGRCTCACATTTAGCTGTTGTGAAAGCGTTTGTATAATGTTGTCTTTTTCATCTATCAAGGWACTCATCTCTACAGATTTCTCAGGAGAAGTAGGAGATGTTACATGTAAAGTTGCTGGTTGTGATGTGCTGGATGATTTGAGTGCAGCYAGTTCTTCTTCTAGTCTTCCTATTTTAGTCTTTGCATTTGACTTGAGCTTGTTGAACCTCTGTTCAGAAGTCTAGAAAACAAGCAAAACCAGCCTTTAACAACTTCRGTGTTAAAATTTATCTTTTTGCACAACAAATTTGACAAACAAACATCTATTAAAGTCAATTGTCAATTAAACAAATCTTTTTGCTATTCTTTTTTGCTTTATTACCCTCCAAATTACTTAAGTCTCAAGTCTTGAAGATCAYTGTGATCTATTCAAGCTTGGAATTTTCTTTTGAAGCAACATTATGTGAAATTAAGCTCTGTTAATCTTTGAATAATTATTTTTTTACCACAAAAACTCAATATACATGTACATGTACATTCCAAAAAAGCTAAAAATTAAATTGTGAAATATGAAATTCATAGCCTAGCAACATGAAAATTATATAATACAGTTCACCTGTAGTTCATTTTCCTTTTCTTGTAGTTGCTGTTTTAATGTATCCAAAGTGTTTTGTACTTCCAGGGTTGCAGCAGACCCTGGTTCTTGTGTGACAGCARCTTCCTGGCTTTCTTTAAGATGGATGATTTCCTCCTGTAATAAAAACAACCAGTTTATAGACAGATGAATACATGATAATAATAACTCATGTATAGTCAGTCCATAGATTGTTTACATCCTATTTTTAACTTCTGAAACATCATTTCACTGAATAGAGAAGGGAAGAAAACAAGAGAGAAACAACTATAAGCAGTTATTTTTTTATATCATTCTGCATTTTTTTATTTCTGCAAACTTGGATGAATCATCCCCAATGTCTATTATTCCTGTTAGAAACACAGTAATAATAATTCTAAAATACAAACTCCAGATAACTGGTTATTCAGTTCTATTCACAATCATTTATAGGATATCATTGCCAATATTTTTTCAGAAAGTGCTAGTGCTAGGCAACTTCAAAAATATCAGCGATGATATCCCATAAYTTCTTAATATATATTTCATAATACTTGGAATATGAGTCAAAATGATAATAATTTCTGCATATTGCTGTATAATAAAATAAATATAATATGCTTATAAAACTCATTAATATTCATAAGGCAAAACACAATAGAAATCATAACCCATGAAGAGAGTTGTAAATCCACATAGAGATTCTTGTTCATTTGCATAAACTTTAACTCTGATTTTCTCGGTCAGACTGAATTTTTTTTCAAAAGTTTCTTTAAAACCTGAGCAAGTTTACCTCAATGTTTCATAAATAATATACACGTACAATGTTCGTGTGTGATCTGTATGAGGATTTAAAACAGTGAGCCAAAAGTGATCGCCCGCTCATATTGTATATTACATATATACAATTATAAAAACACGTAATTATGATAAAATTTACAAATGAATAGGTAAATGGAGACTAAAGTTTATTATTAGGTATTAAGGTGATGCTTAAAGATGTTTATACACATGCACAAACCCTWWKMCWWRTACATGTAGAAATGTTTGTGAGCCTGTTAAGGTGCAATTCTTCGCCTTGACTCAAAATAGATCAAAAAGACTTTTCTTTTTCTAAAATGTTGAGTAAACTAAAATTTCTAAAGAAAATGTTCTCAAAACCATGACAGTCCTCTATTTCAATTGATATCACTCCATGTTATGGTTATGTCAAGAGAGTTAAGAGTGCAGTGTTTTCCCAGCATCCCAAAGTATTTTAAATGTAGTTCACCAATAAATGCACAGCAATCCATCCTTTATTGCCGGATTTCAAACYGAGTGGGGACTGGGCAAAATCCCCTAATTGGATAATCACGAGATAAGACTTACATATAAAGCAAGCCCTTGTTGAGAAATGCAAAATTCCAAAATCTGGTGTCAATCGGTTCAATAGTGAACGAGTTACGAGATTTCAAAAATTCTAAAATTTGCAAAGAAATGTATGGGAAGCCGCAAATGTGTCCGAATTTTGACCATTTTCCGGACACATTCATGGCTTTCCATACATTTCTTTGGAAATTTTAGAATATTTGAAAGGCTGTAACTCGCTCACTATTGGACTGATTTACATSAAWTTTTGGAATTTTGCATTTGTCAACAAGGGCTTTCTTTCTATGTAAGTCTTACGTCATGATTACCCAATTAGGGGATTTTGCCCAGTCCCACACGGTTTGAAATCCGGCAATTGCTTATGATATGGATATGCAGGGGTGCATTTACCGAAGAAATAAATCACGCTCTTGGACCAATATGAGCATTCGTACTTTCAAATCTATATTAAAATGAAATCTCAGCAGTCACTTGCAGTGGTTTTTCTTCCTCAATAGCAACTAGTATAATCACTGCCCACAGGGGGCAATGGACCAAGTCTGTAGACTGTTACATGGACATGTGATTTACCAGATTCTTCAATATGTTAATGAGTGAAAAACCCTTTCGCTGTGCTGTTACATTTTAAATACCTCTTTGTAAAAGTATTGATCACTCAATTTTAAGAATTAAATTAATAGATTACATATCAGACATATACTTAAGTTACCTCAATTGATTTTTACACGCATAATCTATGACTTGACGGTAAAGATTAAACAATAACATAACAGTAAATGAGCTAATTAAAACATTTAAAGCACAAAGTGCTCCATAAAAATACAAACCATCACGTTAAAACTTAAAATGTGTAATAGCTTTATAACACATCGATTCATACACTTGCCTCTTTTGCTCGTAATAGTTTCTGGAATTCATGGTTTATGTCTTCATTCCGTTTCTCAGACTCTACAAGCGCCTTTCTTAGGTCTGAAATGACTTCTTCTTGGCTCTACATACACCCAAAGAGAGAGTAAATAAGCAGAACGACACGTTGCGAAGTAAAAMCTWTWGAAAATAAARATGCTGTACGCACCTGAGGTTGTGTTGAGGTTCCGGCAGCACCTCCAGCGGTAGGATATTCGTGATCCTCTCCAAAACTCTCCTCTAGTTTGTCCGTGACTGCCTGAGCCACGGACGTAAGCCTTCCCCACATATTGCTAAGTCTTCACCATATATTCTGGGCTAAAATCGGCAAATTTGTTGTTTTTCTCTCAGCTGTCGTCCGCCATATTGGATTCACTCTAGCANGCATTTGACGAGTAGGCGACCATCTTGGAAATTATCGATTCAGATGCGAAAGCGCTATTTCGTGACACAATACGAAAAAAAATAAAACTAGACGCATAGCTGCGTGAACTCGGGGTTCTGCTTGAATATATCATAAAACGATGAAGTGACAACAATGAGTGTTGTAGTCGAAGAATTGAGAAGAATTGGAGCTTAATAAAGTTAATAGTCATAAAAATAATAAAAAAACAATGTACTCAGCATAAATATCATGAAAAAATTGATCATCAGCAAGCCGGTCTTTGATTGTCACATGACAAACACAGAGTCTTTTATCTTCTCCGCTCTTCCATTCGTCGGCTTTTCCTCAGAAGAATCTGTTCGCATTCCTTAGACGAGACCTTAGTAGTTTCAGAGCCTGCATAAGTTCGTATACAGTTCGCTTGTGCTTAGCCTGTGTACATCCGTTTCTCATCCCTCCAAAAAATTTTTTTGAGGGGTGACAAACGGATGTACACAGGCTATAGCTTGTGCTAAGATAGGTAGCTTGTTTGATAGACAATTCTCGATAGACTCGATCTCGATAGACAGTAAGATGAATTCTCGATAAATTTACGTTATCTTCTGAAATTCCTTTTTCGGAAAAACGCTGGTCATATTTTATTGTGGCTTTGCCACGAAAGTGTGGAGATATTTAAGTGATTTGAGCGTATTTGTAGACGTTGAATTTCTGTCTTCTTCCACCTCGCGTACAGTCTCGCCGACTATTCTCATCGGTTTGCACATGAAGTCATCAGTCGAAAAAAATTCTAAAATCACAGACACACAAAATTAAAGTACTAAAATACCTTGAAGAGCATAATAGAAGTTCTCTCTGAAAGTTTCAACCATTTTTGCTGTTTATTCGTTGAGTTATTAACGTTCAAAAATACTGTCACGCAATACTGTCAAGCTACTTGAAACACGCCAAATTCAACCTCGGAAAGCTTATAAATCTTAAAGCAATTATAGTCTCAGCATTAAATTAAATTTTTAGAATGATATTGTTAGAAAACTGAAGCAAAATCATTAGTTTTGAGCTCATTTCGACACTCGGAGTTACTGTCCGCGTGGTTGTGTACTGGATAGTACACCATCAGGNAGTTCTTCTTCTAGTCTTCCTATTTTAGTCTTTGCATTTGACTTGAGCTTGTTGAACCTCTGTTCAGAAGTCTAGAAAACAAGCAAAACCAGCCTTTAACAACTTCGGTGTTAAAATTTATCTTTTTGCACAACAAATTTGACAAACAAACATCTATTAAAGTCAATTGTCAATTAAACAAATCTTTTTGCTATTCTTTTTTGCTTTATTACCCTCCAAATTACTTAAGTCTCAAGTCTTGAAGATCACTGTGATCTATTCAAGCTTGGAATTTTCTTTTGAAGCAACATTATGTGAAATTAAGCTCTGTTAATCTTTGAATAATTATTTTTTTACCACAAAAACTCAATATACATGTACATGTACATTCCAAAAAAGCTAAAAATTAAATTGTGAAATATGAAATTCATAGCCTAGCAACATGAAAATTATATAATACAGTTCACCTGTAGTTCATTTTCCTTTTCTTGTAGTTGCTGTTTTAATGTATCCAAAGTGTTTTGTACTTCCAGGGTTGCAGCAGACCCTGGTTCTTGTGTGACAGCARCTTCCTGGCTTTCTTTAAGATGGATGATTTCCTCCTGTAATAAAAACAACCAGTTTATAGACAGATGAATACATGATAATAATAACTCATGTATAGTCAGTCCATAGATTGTTTACATCCTATTTTTAACTTCTGAAACATCATTTCACTGAATAGAGAAGGGAAGAAAACAAGAGAGAAACAACTATAAGCAGTTATTTTTTTATATCATTCTGCATTTTTTTATTTCTGCAAACTTGGATGAATCATCCCCAATGTCTATTATTCCTGTTAGAAACACAGTAATAATAATTCTAAAATACAAACTCCAGATAACTGGTTATTCAGTTCTATTCACAATCATTTATAGGATATCATTGCCAATATTTTTTCAGAAAGTGCTAGTGCTAGGCAACTTCAAAAATATCAGCGATGATATCCCATAAYTTCTTAATATATATTTCATAATACTTGGAATATGAGTCAAAATGATAATAATTTCTGCATATTGCTGTATAATAAAATAAATATAATATGCTTATAAAACTCATTAATATTCATAAGGCAAAACACAATAGAAATCATAACCCATGAAGAGAGTTGTAAATCCACATAGAGATTCTTGTTCATTTGCATAAACTTTAACTCTGATTTTCTCGGTCAGACTGAATTTTTTTTCAAAAGTTTCTTTAAAACCTGAGCAAGTTTACCTCAATGTTTCATAAATAATATACACGTACAATGTTCGTGTGTGATCTGTATGAGGATTTAAAACAGTGAGCCAAAAGTGATCGCCCGCTCATATTGTATATTACATATATACAATTATAAAAACACGTAATTATGATAAAATTTACAAATGAATAGGTAAATGGAGACTAAAGTTTATTATTAGGTATTAAGGTGATGCTTAAAGATGTTTATACACATGCACAAACCCTWWKMCWWRTACATGTAGAAATGTTTGTGAGCCTGTTAAGGTGCAATTCTTCGCCTTGACTCAAAATAGATCAAAAAGACTTTTCTTTTTCTAAAATGTTGAGTAAACTAAAATTTCTAAAGAAAATGTTCTCAAAACCATGACAGTCCTCTATTTCAATTGATATCACTCCATGTTATGGTTATGTCAAGAGAGTTAAGAGTGCAGTGTTTTCCCAGCATCCCAAAGTATTTTAAATGTAGTTCACCAATAAATGCACAGCAATCCATCCTTTATTGCCGGATTTCAAACYGAGTGGGGACTGGGCAAAATCCCCTAATTGGATAATCACGAGATAAGACTTACATATAAAGCAAGCCCTTGTTGAGAAATGCAAAATTCCAAAATCTGGTGTCAATCGGTTCAATAGTGAACGAGTTACGAGATTTCAAAAATTCTAAAATTTGCAAAGAAATGTATGGGAAGCCGCAAATGTGTCCGAATTTTGACCATTTTCCGGACACATTCATGGCTTTCCATACATTTCTTTGGAAATTTTAGAATATTTGAAAGGCTGTAACTCGCTCACTATTGGACTGATTTACATSAAWTTTTGGAATTTTGCATTTGTCAACAAGGGCTTTCTTTCTATGTAAGTCTTACGTCATGATTACCCAATTAGGGGATTTTGCCCAGTCCCACACGGTTTGAAATCCGGCAATTGCTTATGATATGGATATGCAGGGGTGCATTTACCGAAGAAATAAATCACGCTCTTGGACCAATATGAGCATTCGTACTTTCAAATCTATATTAAAATGAAATCTCAGCAGTCACTTGCAGTGGTTTTTCTTCCTCAATAGCAACTAGTATAATCACTGCCCACAGGGGGCAATGGACCAAGTCTGTAGACTGTTACATGGACATGTGATTTACCAGATTCTTCAATATGTTAATGAGTGAAAAACCCTTTCGCTGTGCTGTTACATTTTAAATACCTCTTTGTAAAAGTATTGATCACTCAATTTTAAGAATTAAATTAATAGATTACATATCAGACATATACTTAAGTTACCTCAATTGATTTTTACACGCATAATCTATGACTTGACGGTAAAGATTAAACAATAACATAACAGTAAATGAGCTAATTAAAACATTTAAAGCACAAAGTGCTCCATAAAAATACAAACCATCACGTTAAAACTTAAAATGTGTAATAGCTTTATAACACATCGATTCATACACTTGCCTCTTTTGCTCGTAATAGTTTCTGGAATTCATGGTTTATGTCTTCATTCCGTTTCTCAGACTCTACAAGCGCCTTTCTTAGGTCTGAAATGACTTCTTCTTGGCTCTACATACACCCAAAGAGAGAGTAAATAAGCAGAACGACACGTTGCGAAGTAAAAMCTWTWGAAAATAAARATGCTGTACGCACCTGAGGTTGTGTTGAGGTTCCGGCAGCACCTCCAGCGGTAGGATATTCGTGATCCTCTCCAAAACTCTCCTCTAGTTTGTCCGTGACTGCCTGAGCCACGGACGTAAGCCTTCCCCACATATTGCTAAGTCTTCACCATATATTCTGGGCTAAAATCGGCAAATTTGTTGTTTTTCTCTCAGCTGTCGTCCGCCATATTGGATTCACTCTAGCAATCGAACACGTCAGCCTGCCAGGCTACCAAGCAATATGTGGCCTGGCCTACACAGTAAAAAAATTCGAGAAACCGCCATAGGGTCAACGTTGTTTTAGTATTATTTTATTATTTACCAAACTATAGGGCAAATTTGCAATTTCCATCGTGCACGGTCTTGATTGATTCAACCTTAAAATACATACAAAGCTTTTATTTTTATTTATACAACTTTTCAGTAAAATCAGACGTTTTGATTGGTTGGTTTTCGTGTGTTATCAAAGTTTATACAACTTTTCAGTAAAATCAGACGTTTTGATTGGTTGGCTTTCGTGTGTTATCAAAGTATAGATACACGGATTACGTCAAAACTAATTGTTTGTTGTATAAAACAGATAGATCTCATTTTTCCGTGCGTGTGTACTCTAATAGATACACAGATGACGTCAAAATGTAGTGAGAACAACAGTCACGCACTCGACTGCGTCTCGTGCGAACTTTTTTGTTCTCACTACATTTTGACGTCATCTGTGTATCTATTAGAGTACACACGCACGGAAAAATGAGATCTATTTGTTAAATAATAATTATATAAGATAAATCTTACTAACCTGTACTAAGCTTCATTTTCTGGTATATGAACTTTTCATTAACTGACCTTAACTTTAACTTTAACTTTAATGAACTTTAACTTTAACTTTTCATTAACTTTTCATTATTAACTTTCATTAACTTTTCATTAACTTTTCATTATCTTTTCATTAACTTTTCGTTAACTTTTCGTTAACTTTTCGTTAACAGATAAGCAGTGAATGAAAAGTTGAGGGGGACATTGGGGTTTGCGGGATTGCGGGATTGACCGTTTTTTCATGCGATATTGCGGTAATTTGGCAAAATAAATGCGATAATGCGGGATTTGTATTTTGTGCGATATGCGGTATTTGAAGTTTTAAGATGCGGTGTTACGGGAAAAATCGCTTAAAATGGCGGTATTGCGAGAAAAATGCTTGCAGAACTAACACTGCGGGATGCAGAAATATCTCAAGGTGCCCTGTCATCTCAAGTTAATAATTCACAATCCACACAACCAATCACAGACCTTAATTTCTATCATGTAATTTGACCTATATGACCTCTCTGGACTACCTGGTCATTCTCGTTAATCTTGGTGACATCGTTATCGTACTTACATTGTAAAGTCCGAAGTATGTCTGACAGCGTAGTAATTATAGAATGCGTGGCGTTCTTCATAGAAGAAGGAAAAGGAGGAAAACATTATAGAAAGAAAAACAAATTCCGCTGTGAAGTCGGAGCGGAGGAACGTAAAAGCGTAACTGCGAAAAGCCATTTGGTAGGTTTATTAGCTTTATCACACTTATAATGTTTACATGTTTGCAGTGATGGGCCTATTCAAATTGCAGTATACCAGAAAATGAATAATTATATAATAAATTAATAGCCGTCGGGCACAAACTCTCTCGGAGCGGTTAGGAACGCCTGGCTACGCAGGCTATATCAAGATATATCAAGGAACTACAAAGACATTTAATAAACTGTTTTTGCCCACTCCATAGATCATGTGTATGAAACATGCAATCGTATCGGCTTTCCCGGCGTATTTCTAGAGATTGTACATNTGACCTGTCTAAAACGCATTGAGCCGTGATAATCCCATACATTCTTACCAATTTTCGTTTGCTCGTATTTCTGTTAAAAAGCATTATTTTGGCTCAAAATTTCGCAATAATACTTTCATTTAGATGTTCTATCGAGGACAATAATAATATTTCGCTAATTTGGTCTCTAAATAGCATTTTTAGAATAACACGTGATTATGAGCTTGGGCTACCTGTGGACAATTTGTGACTGATAAGCGACAATGAAAAAAAATAAGAAAAAAAAATAAGAAGCACGAAATTTAAACTCTGGGTTCCACAGGAACCCCGAGTAAATATCTCGGGAACCTAAGCATTTTAATAATAATAATACGTATTATTTATATAGCGCCGATATCCTTACAGTTCAAAGGCGCTTCACATGATCACGGATCGCTATTAGSAGCCACGAGGCTTACAATCACTTTTGGGAACATTCTCGATCTTTTGTACTTTCACGATGAGAAATCACGATACAGAAAGCAACAAAAACACTCGAAAACTAGCATAAAAATCTGACTTATGGGGCGGGCATTTGACCACTCATTTGCTTTTACTAGTGGCATTTGACTGTCAATTTTGCCCATATAGTGGGGAATTTGACCACTTTTTTTCCAAAAAGTCAAATGCCCGGGGGTTCTCCCGGGGGGGGGGGGGGGGATGGGCACCTTTGGAATTGACTCATACATTATTATCATTATTGTTGTTTATAGTTTTGTTGCATAGACAAATAGCTAAGGTGCTTTCTGAGCGCTTACTCGTGTGCAGCATTGAGCAGTCACGTGATATATGATGATTACTGTGACACGTCCATATCATGATTGTATTGTTGGCTGGTTATTGTTTCCCCAAGTTTGATATTCATCAATGAAACAAAATATGACCAGCCTTGCATAACATCTTAACATGGTCATGAGATGTGTGACATGACATTCCGTAATTAACAGGTCACGTTGACAAAATTGTCCAGAATTTGTTTAATCCGTTTTTATTAATTAACATTTGGATGGAATTGCAGCAATTTTTCTACAAGGTCACGTGATATTTTATACGTCGCATGCTGTGTCAGCAATTAGTTTGAAAGAGATCACGCAGGCTGTTTGATGTGTGACGCCACATTCAGTGTGTGATTGACAGGGCACGTCAATAATGTCAGTTGGATTTTGTTTGCCCGGGTTTGATTGACAAAAAAAATTAAATAAAAGAGGAATTGCGTCCAATTTTCGCAAGGTCACGCGATGTGACATCACATGGGATCGAACTGAACGGTGTGACAACTGTTCTAAGAATATTTTTGCTGCGCGAGTCTTATATGTTTGGGACTTTTGACAATCCGATAGAATGCACACCGGAAAAAATCGCGCGCTTTAAAGGTTGTAAATTTGATGTAAATCATTTCCATCAAATTTACATCATTTTGGAAACTTACATCATATTTCCATCAAATTTACAACCTTTATGGCGCGCGATTTTTTCCTGTGTGCAATGCAATGGAATACAATGAAATTTTATTTGTGTCTTAGTAATTAGCATATTATTGTCAGACAATACATATTAAAGCTAAAGATAAGTTCCAAAATTCTCACATT